GCCAACGTGGCAGAGACCACCTGCGAAGCGCGCCGCCCGAGAAGGAAAGAGGGGGAGGGCAATCAAGGTCCAAGCAGATCCGGAGGGGTCAAGGGACAGGGGGAACGCAAGGGAGCGCAAAAAACAATTCGGACGCGAAACTCATGGGGAAAAAAGGCTGAGAACACAGAGCAAAAGGGGCAGCGAGCGGCTTCAAGCCCGTCTCAAAAGCTGACACAGGCGCAATCCTCCCTCCGTTCCTCTCAGACCATGCCCCCCCCCTTGCGGACACACATCTCCCGACTCCCCAGGGTCCGCGGTCCTTCCTTCACCTAAGGGTGGAAGACTTCCTCCTTACCTTGACCTTCCGGAGGGGGGGGCGGAGGTCTCCGCGGTGTGGGAGTCCCAGTCGACGCCTTTTGTACCTCCTACTGTGAGTCTCGCCCTGATCTCTTCCAAACCCATCGTCCCGGCCCCACCTTTTCCTCCCCCCTTCCCTTTCACGCTCTCCATTGCTTGCTTTTTCCTCTTTGTTTTCCTCCTCCTCCTCATCCGCCTGCTTTTCATCCTCCTCCTCTTCCTCCTCGGTTTCTTCCCTCCGTGCCAATTTGAGCCAATGCCAATGGTCTTCAGCGTGCACAATCTTTACGGCGGCCGACGGCGCGACACAATAAAAAAGAAAAAGGGTTTATGTCAGTGTGCATTCATACGGTGAAAACCCAAACAACAACAGCATGCGTAACCTACATGGATCTCCTTGTCTGCGTAGAGAGGGTTATCCAAGGCGAAATTTAGGTCGAGTGCAGCGACTTGCTCGTAGTACTCGTTCTTGCTCATTAAGCGCCTGCCACTTCGTTTGCCAGAGACATAGTCGAGGTCAGGAAAAAAGAGTGGAGAAGCGGTGATGGGTTCGAAAGGAGGAAGGAGAAGGAACGTACCTGGCACCAAGGCCGATTTCCGAACCATCGTCGTTGTCACGCCCGGCACGGAGACCATCTTCACCGCCAACGCCTTCCCCTTGCATTTGTGTCACTCCGTATTATTGCGTACCTGATTTGCTCTTTTTCTCAACCGTTGACTGTTACAGGAAAATTGCCAATAGAGACGTGAATCAAGGTACTTGTAGGTAGTCTGTCGGTTCGCAACGAACGCCGCTTGAACACGAAAAGCAAGACTGTACGCGGACTTTAACATCCTAGGGAACAAGTGATGCATCAGAAGGGCCATTAAAGCAAACTTTGGCACTGGAAAAAGACGCCAGCGAGCATCGTTTTTGGCATTCGAGTGTGCTCACAGGACATTTGCCATGTTCGCAATGCCGGGCACAAGGTTAACCTCCCCCCTACCTCTTGAAAAATGCGAGGGAATGTCTGATGTATGCGAAAATAGCATTTCCCACCCCATTTTCATCATGGTGCCTTAAACATATACCTCAATTCTTTGTGATGACTAAAAACAAAGGAATGAAGTACTGACCTTGTCTGACCGCTGTAGATGGTGGCAGGGCACTTCGAGACGCGATGCGCTAAAAGTAGGACGATAAACGACGGCTTCTGAAGCCAAAAAATGAGTTGCGAGTGGCCTAGAACTGATAGCATGGATCTTCATTGAATGCAGAGATTTTGCGCATGACTTTTTCTTCTTTTTTTAGTTCCTCGTTGGTTTTTATCCCGGCTTACTTCAGTAATTTTTTTCCTTGTCAGTATTGCCTTAAAGATTCATGTTTCAATTGAGTCTTGCGGAGAGCTTTTCTTGCACTCCTCGCAGCTTGCAAGAATCTCCCATTTTTTGAACGAATCTCCTCCTTCCTTGGGTTTCCCCCATGCTTTGACCCTTTTTGTCATATTCATTTCCCGTCATTCCCTGTCTCAAGCTCATCCAGCAGCTCCTTGACCAGACTTCTGATATAGTCCCGTATTTTATTGAATTCTTCGGGCTCCATATGCTGTCGGATAGTATCCAATCGAAAATGAAACGCGGGACGAGTCGTTTAACATGAAGAAACGGTGAAGACGTCAGCATCCGACATTCGTGCCCCCTGACGACCGGCAGTCTTTGGACTCACTGCAGAGTGTTTCTCATGTTGCATTTTCGACATTCTCTAGCCACCTAAACATACCTTGGGATCAGGGATTGTCCAATTGACTGTCCGCTTGGCCGGCATCCATGGGCACGCGTCTCCGCAACCCATAGTGACCACCGCATCGAAGGGAGCGAATCTTTCGACCTCTTCCAGACTCTTGGAGTCGTGCAGGGACAAATCATAGCCGATTTCTTTCATGGAAAGGATGGCCTGTCATGAAAAATGCTATGACGCTGAGTCGATGCAAGCTGTCTACACGATCTCCTTTTCAGTGTCCCCGTACCACTGTCTGCTTGCTGGCTTTCTATTTTTCAGTTTACCTTCGGATTGACGACACCACTGGGCTTGCTTCCCGCGCTGTAAGCCTCCACTTTATTCCCACCTAGGATGGTGGCGAACGCCTGGCTCATTTGACTACGATTGGAGTTTTCCACGCAGACGAAGAGGAGCTTGAAGGGAGGAGGCTGGTTACCCGCCATCCTGCTCTCTCGGTTTTTGGCTGGATGAGAGGAAAAGGGTTTGAAAATATGTTTAAGGAAAGACGAAATCGATGAATTTATCATACGTTCATGTCCTGGCCAAACGCTCGGTGCTTCAGCGTTTTCTCCTTGTCTGCAGAATGCCTTTGCAGGGGCTTTTACCGAGGCTTACCAGTAATAGTTGAAGCAGTTCGGTATCAAAGACTAATAAACCACAGCACACTGACTCAATCGCCTGCGTGAATACCCAGGGTTGGTGTTGCAATGTTGGAACTTTTTTAAGGGGGGCAGGAGGTGGTAGTTACGTACTTTGTGACGCGCTACTCATAAAACTCACGCAGTCAGATGCAAGGCTGCTGATTACACGTTTAGAATCTCAACCCGAAGCCGGATTGTAGGAGGTCGTAAAGTATTTTGACAGGCAAAAAATATATTATTCATTCAACCAGTCGCACAGTCAGTATGTTGTATGCATAAGACAGGACCTTGAAACAGAGCGTGCGACATGCTTTGTCAGGGGAATGAAGTAGTCATTTGTCGACGCCATGCATCAGATCCGAGCTTTTTTCCATTCCACGCGGGAAAAAGCCACGATATATACGCCCCGAGAATTTCGTTTTGAAGATGAACGAGCACGTTGCACATATTGGGGGGACGTACGAAATGAATACGCACGGAATTATGCCTTATCTATGCTCACAAAGGCACATCTGACGCCGCCTATCTCGCCTGTCAACGAGTGGTAGGGCCTAGATTCATTTGTCGGGAATGAAGATTTACTCGTTCGCCCCTACAAAGGCGACTCCAGGCCATCAAAATCTGAGGACCCCTGCAGTGTCCTGCCCCCGTGGGGTGACTTTCCCGTCTCCTGTGACAAGTTTCTGTCAGACTTAAAGGGACTTTCTCCTGTCATGTTGCGTCAGTCTATATTGCATGCATGATTGTCGTAGATCAAACCCTATGTGTAGCGCATACTCTGTAGTACGCGTAAGACCTCCCCGGTCTCAACAACCCGTCTGCTGAACGAAAGCGAGGATCCCCTTCGTGTCCTCCATCACGTGTTATTGAACAATGCAAGGCTCAACATTATGGAAAATGCTCACCATCTTTTCTTCTCAGCCATTCGCAGCATGTCCGGGCCCTCCTCACAAGAGTCGAAGGTCCAGGCGGTGGAAAGCACGCAATTCAACCACTCTCACCCTGAGGAGGAGAAAAAGCTATCTTTCTTGGACAAATTCCTTTCTGGATGGATCATCCTAGCTGCTGGTGTGGGACTGGCGCTTGGACAGGCTCCTGCCATCATCAAGGCGATCAAAGCATCGAGCGTAGGGACCACCAATATTCCTATAGCCATCGGATTAATCCTCATGATATTTCCTCCTCTGGCTAAGGTTCGCTGGAACAAGATGCGCGACGTCTTTGCCGATACTCATTTGGTCCTCTTGACCCTGTTCCTGAACTGGGTAGTGGGGCCGTTCTTGATGTATTTTTTGGTACGTTGAAAGAGTGCGTCGCTGAGAGGCGGGCGACGATGACCTCAGACCTGAGTCTCCCCGACCTGGAACTCATCGTCCTTACTTTCCTTCTTCTTCTTGACAGGCCGTCGCATTCTTCCACGAAGGAAGGTACGCCTCCTTCATGTCGGGCCTCTCCCTTGTGGGTTGCGCCCGTTGTATCGCCATGGTGATCGTGTGGGTGGAGCTGGCTAGGGGCGATCGCGAGTATTGCGCGGCCATCGTTGCCCTCAACAGCATCATCACCATCTTTCTCTATTCCCCGTACGCGGTGCTTTTCCTTATCACGTTGCCCACGGCCATGCTGGGCTCGGCGGGCACGAGTGCCGTGGACGTGACCATGGGGGACATTGCCATCTCTGTGGGAATCTACCTGGGCATTCCACTCGCTGCAGGGGTTCTCTGCTGGTACGTCCTTCAGGGCAAGGCTTCTTTCTTCCTTCGTTTGAAAGATGTTGAAGCATTTGTCTTCCTTGCCATGCTCCGTTGATCCGCCTGATCCCCCTCACGCCTGTCCCCTCTGTCTCTTCCTGGTAGTGCTCTGCCGCTTCTCGAGTACTTCTCCATCATCACCAACGCTTTCTCTCCTACCCATCCCACCTCCCACAATCCACCCGGTCCAGGCTTCTCCTTACCAAGCTCAAAGGTAAGGAGTGGTACTACACGTCCTTCGCTCCTCGCATCGGTCCTCTGACGCTGGCCGCTCTTCTCTTCACCATCGTGGTGCTCTTCGCCACCCAGTCCAAGAGCATCTTGAGCCAGGTAGTGATCCCTGTCAGGCCCTCTCCCCTCACCTTTTTCCTTTCGTGTGGAGTGGACTCTCGTGGGCAAAGGTCAAGATTAGGAGTGTGTCTCTGCAGGACCGTGCAAGCCTCAGGAGTCTTGATAGAACCTCTCACTCTTCCTTTCCAATTTCATTCTTCACTCGCGGCGTGATTCGGCCCAATTCTGTCCCAGATTGGTCGCGTCCTCTACGCCGCTGTCCCCCTCGCCATCTACTTCTTGAGCATGTTCCTTGGCAGCTTCTACCTATCTTTTCTGGCCAATGCTACCTACGCTCAAGCTACTACCTTGGCTTTCACGGCTGCATCGAATAATTTTGAGCTTGCCCTGGCGGTGGCTGTGGGCACTTTTGGACTGAACTCTGGAGAGGCGCTCATGAGTGTGGTAGGGGCCTTGATCGAGATCCCGACCATGCTGTCCTTGGTGAAGATGGCAGAGTATTTCAAAAGAGCGTGGTACCAGGGGCAGGAAACCACCGTCCCGAGCAAGCTGTCGAGGAACGGAGTAAAAGGAGCGGAGGGAAGTGTTCAGGGGGGGGAGCCAGTGGAGGGCATCAAGAGCGTGGAGATGCATGTTTAACTCATGAACAGCTGTCACGTCGTGCAAAGAATGAACATAAAGCAATCAGAGTCGTCGAAATATTTTTGCGGGCACCAACACGATATATGTGACAAGACCAGCCTGTTTCGAGTAAACCGTTTGGTGTGGAAATATAGTGAACAATTTGGTTTCGATCGCCTGAAAAAGCTCACGAGGAAGCCTTTCGAGTCTCCTTTGAGGTATAGCAGGTGAAGGTTGAGGTCATGATACAAGCATTTGACTGAATTGATCTACAAGCCCTCGTTCTAAAGCAATAATTGTGTTTTCTCAGAAGTCAGAAATAATCATGGTTGAGGGAGCGATGTCGATGATTTTACTTCCACACTTTCCCCCTTTTGCTGAGGCTTATCTCGCCGTCGTAACATTGGTCACTTGCGTGACTCGCCTCTCTTTTTGACTCGTTGACTCGAAGACTCAACCCATTGCATCAGTATAGTCGTACGTAGCTTGCACACCGCTTTCCCTTCGCGTCGACAATGTCCATGTTACGAGTCGACATCGTCGCACAAGAATAAAGCCAATTACTCTTCCCTTTTCGTTGGGGAATTCATGATCTCGTTGCTGACTCAGTACGTCGCACTCTGGTTGTAAGGGGCTGCTACGGATTTGCCGCCTTGCAAGCAGTCATAGTATGTCACCTGATTGTGGACGCCATCATGACAAACCGCGGCAGACAAAAAATTATATGTGAGAAATCAGCCTGATGGTTTCCTCTATCTGGTCCCATAGAGAATTGCTCTTCATCCTACCTTGGGATAGAAGTTCTTCATGACACTGGAGGCGAAGCTTGATGTTTCGCATTTCGCACCGACGCCTGCGATGCTCTCACACGCTTGTTTTATGTTGTGAATGCTCTGCAATGTTGAAAGGACGAAATCAGTGAGCAGGTTATCAACGCATATGTGTTCAATGGAAGAACAGGTGTGAAGGCTGCAGCATTCAAATACTCACTTGGGTATTGTTTGCAGTGTCACCAATGCGGCTGCTCTGAGAAAGAATCTCTCGAAGGACCAGAGCTACCAGAAATGGATTGGCAAGTATAAGTTATGACAAAATCAAATGTCTCAACAAAGTGTATCCAAGAAATCCGAAGTTGTCGAAGCTAACCAAACAGCGGGAGAGCAAGCCTTCGAAAAGCAGCGACTAAATCTGACCTGGATAGGAGACGCGGGCAGTCTGGCCCCAGGTTGAGAGAAACATGGCATCCCTAGTCAAGTGACCACAGCGTTTGGCAGAGGCAAGGTCCGCGGCGGCCACGATTTTATACTGGCGAGAGTTACGGAGATTCCAGAGGTACTAAAAAAGATGGAGGACAAGGAAAAAACGGTCACATTTCAAACGCATTGAACAATATTCTTGCAGACTATCGCGATGATGCCGGTCCCAAACGCTAGGTCCAACATCTCACCGTATCCAATATTTTTATATCCTTCCCTCGCAAAGTTCATATCATAACTCTCATCTCCTCGTCTCCTTCCTCGATGTGAATGCTTCTTACCTCCGAGCCATAGTATTGCGAGTAGAAATCGACAATATCACTATCAAATAGCGTTTGTAGCACAGGACCTGGAATCTGTTAATGCAAAAATTAAATGTTGTTGTGCTTTCAAGTCAATACCTGTATCATGCTGCCGAACTCTATACGTACATTCAAATCATAAGTGGAGAGGCTGAGGTACCGCGCGTTACTTTTGGTGAAGTCCGCCACAAAAGGAGGGGTCCAGAGGCCACCCGGAGAAGGAGGAAGAGTGCCCGTGATCACAGCCACGAGGTTCCCCTGTACCCCACCACCGTCGACTGGAAGATGATTGGAAGGAAACGCAAGGTTAGAAGACACCGAGAGAAACGCAGGGTAAAAGTCTTGCTACAAAAATCAAGAATTGCAGTTTAGCAGGCCTTTGTCGCTGGCTTTTTCTCCAACTTTCAAAAAGTATTTCCCTGCATAGGTCCCTTCTTCATTCAAATTACTCACCTTCACTCCCACAACTTAGAAGATAGTTCGCATCTTTGTTGACAAACGGCGCGCGTGTACCCGTCCGCCGAAAGAGGCCTACATGGTTGGAACAATGAGGCGGAGAGATGAAATGAGGAATAGCAAGCAAATGTTTGCAAAAGACAGAAATACAGGTCTTTCATATATGATCCACGAAAGGGATATGCAGATCATAAGCAATTTCTCATCTCATACAGCGAATTCTCCTCCCCATTCTGTAACTTTCAACTCTCATTTTCCCCATCCTCCTTCCTTCTTACGGAATTGATCCCGGCTGTTCCATGTCGGGCACGGGTTTGCGCCTGCTTTATTCTCGGTGGCTAATACGCGGGAGTAGCTAAAAAGATTAGATAAAGGGGGGGAGGGGAAAATGATGAAGAGGATTTGAAAGTAGGCGAAAGGCTTGAATGTGCTGGCCATAGCAGTTTGCATGGGCTCGTAAAAGAAAAGCGCGAAAATTGCACTAAGGATTCGTGGCAAGAGAAAGAGGACCATAACATCCTTTCGACACATCGGAAATCGTGACCATGAAGGAAATGGGAGCAAATTCGCTACAGAAAATAGTAGGAGGAAGGAAAATGATAGTTACCCAGTTGCAATTGTGGAGATAAATTGAGAAGCAATCTTCGTGTTATTGGGCGTACACTGATCAAGAGTGTACCAGAGCCCGCCTTGGCCGGATGAGGGATTGAATAGCTGGGAGGGGGGAAAAGAAAAGGAACGGTGGAGCATACGATGGGCAGTAAAAAAGGAGCGGGAGATAAATAAGAAAACATGTCTGATATAATATTCACAGGTCGAGCTATTCCTGGGTTCCTCTTTTTGTACCTTGTACTTGACGACAGGAGGCGCAACAGCACCCCAGATGTCCGTCTTGTCGGGAGATTGCTTGTCATAGGCATAGACGCGGAGAAGAACAAAAGCGCCTGAGGCATAGCGGGAAATCCATGAGTGATTGTCACATTCGTAATGAACTTCACATCAAAAGCGGTACACAACAAACAAAGATACTGATTGAAGAATGGATGGAAGAAAAGCTTTTGAAAAATAGAGAAAGAATTCACAAGAAAAAAGTAGAGTAGAGAGGACAAGCAGAAAGGACGATAATAAAATTAAAACATTCGGAGTTAGCGAGAGCTGTACATACCTGTTGCGTTACTCCCAGATGCAATGGTGGGAAGCTCATTAGGGTAGCCTTGATCGCCATTGAGAGTAACGTGAACTTGATACTTGCCCTTATCTCCCAAAGTTGTGCCTGGAGTGGCAAAGGGGTTGACGCCCCGTACGGATTTGATCTAGAGAAGCAAAAACAAGCAGAGGGATGAGCAGAAAGTAGGGGGAATGGGGACGCGTCCAGAGATTTTTCCAAAGAGCCCTAGTCTCTAGAAATAGGTGCGAGCGGGTCGCGTGACGTTCTTTGCCCTTAACTTGGCCTTTTACTTTTGTACCTCATAGTCGCGGACAGAAGCCACAGGGTCTAGTGACTTAGGATCGTAGGATTGGTAGGAGAAGTATCGGACGAAGGGATAATCGCCTGTCGTGAAGGAGGAAGAAGCAACAAAAATGAGGGAGGTTCCACTTGTTAAGTTCGAACAGACAGGAGTGAATAAAGAAGAGAAAGGAACGTAATTGGCGAGGATAAAACGGACGGAGAGGCGAAAAGGGCGCGGAAGGGAAGAAGACAAAAAGGTATGGTGAGTGGGTACCTTCGATGCGGATGACGTCCATAGGCCCTTGAAGCTTGGGTACAAATAAGACATGGTACACAGCATACTGAAGGTGGGAGGAAGGAAAATGGGGAAAGGGTGGATGAGAAATGAGAAGGAGGGGGACGATCAACTTTCACGCAGCGGGCAAGGCCTGAAGCTGATGCGGTAGATGAGGAAGAAATAGGAGAGAAATTGGATCAAGGAAAACGAGTATATAAATTAAGAATGACAATCGAGAAAGATACTCACCCCGTCGGGAAAGGCGATGTTGAAATTGAGCCCCACACTGGCCTGCCAGGCACAGTTGAACTCAATACTGGCATTCAGTCCCGCTAGGGCATAAGATGTGTAAGAGAGGAAGACAGCCTTTTGGGCATCGGTCATATCCAGCTGGTTCACAGCCACATTCGCCATGGTACTGAGAGGGAAGTGAACGGGGCGATAAACATGCGGTGGTGCTTAGAGAGTAGAACGGTACAATAACACGAAAGATGGATATACAAAAAGAGGCAAATCCTTCCAGGACCCTTTCAAGCTACTGGGATCTATTGTAGGGTATTCCCCCCTCACTTCGGCGGTCAAGTTTGTGAAAACGTCCTATATACCTATAGAAATCCATCGCTTCCGGAGATCTGGCCGTAACCTGATCTAAAGAAACAGAGCCCGTGGTTGGATCTATGGCTACTGGATTGCCGCGGCCTGCGCTCTCAAGGGCACCCTACGCGATGTAAGGCAGGAATGTAGAGGGAAAAGGGTTACAAAAATAGAAACTGAATTCAGAGGAAGGACGAAGAGTACCAGCAGTAGGATATAGATTTCAACAAAGCAAGAAAAGAACAAGCACATTTTTCCTGTATGCTATACCAATCTTAAATAATATTAATGTCCTTGTTACTTCACCTGAGCGGCACCCATGGCTGCCTGCTTGGCGAGGTAGGCCGCCGCGGCCTTAGGATCAGATGGCGTCGTATCACTCTGCCGGACAGGATAAAGTGGGACGGTAATGATTATTTGTATATTATAAAAGTTTTGCTTTTAGGCCTAATGCTTCAAATATTTGTGGTACTTTTCGTTGCTGTGAACAGAAAAACAAATCTTGTCTTGCCTTCTTAAACATTTCCTGTCCGGATCAATAACCACACTTTGACACTCACATTCG